CCTTACAGCAGCCTGCCAGGGCCTGAAGGGGCTTACAGGGGCCACGGGACAAGAAGCAAGGGTTTTAGACTGGAGCAGGGGAGATTTAGATTAGCCATCAGGAAGTTCTTTGCTATGAGGGTGGTGAAACACTGGCACAGGTTGCCCAGAGAAGCTGTGGGAGCCTCATCCCTGGCAGTGTTGAGGCCTAGGCTGGACGGGGCTTGGACCAACCTTGTCTAAGTGGGAGGTGTCCCTGCCCACGGCAGGGGCTTGGAACGAGCCGATTTTGAAGGTCCCTTCCAATTCAAACCATTCTAGGATTCCACGATTCTATGATTTATTGGTGCTGGGGCAGGGCGGGGCACAGCCCACCCTGGCTCTTTGCTGTTGGCTTCGTCCTCACCGACGCTGGTTGAGCCCTGCCAGGTTCTTGATCTGTGGGGCAGAAGGAGAAGGGTGTTAAGGACAGGTGCCCCCGAGGCACGAAGGCCACATCTCAGCCCTGGAGGTTTCAGGACCACGGCGCAGCAAGGCGTGCTCCAGAAGCAGGGGTGAAGAGGGGAGACTGGTGTGCTTCGGAGCGGAGAGGTGGGGGTGAAAGTCACCGTTTGTGGTCAGAAAATGGGGGTGAATGTGAAAGGGGTGGAGAAGGGTCACCCTAGCTCCAGCCACTGGCACCCCTCTGACCTGAACCTGCTCTCCAGGGCAGTAAGGTTCAGCTTGGTTTTATTTCTGCGGTCACACGGGCCTCGGCAGCAAATTTAAGCTTTTGAGGCATTCAGCTTGCCCACCTGTTTTGCAGAGACCTGGAGAGCTCAGCACACCTGTACAGCAGCTGCACTGTCGGGCATGGGAGGTCTGGACGGGCTGCCCCTAATAGTTAATGTACTGGGGGGACTGTTCCCTAAAACCAGCTGGCTGCAACCCACCCCCTTTCAGCTGCAGTCTAGTTCCTCCTCATAAATCATTCCTGGGTACCCAAACGTTTGTTTCGTATCCCAGAGGAAGAGCAGCTCCCTCTGCATGGAAACAAAGCAGTCCAGGATGCAAGAAGCAAATGGATTCGCGGAAGGACACTACAGACAACTGAAACAGCTTGAGAAAGTCACCCTGCCGTGCCTCAGGGACAGGTGCCACCTCCCGCTTGTCCACGGCAGCATGGACCTTCCATCGAAATCTCCAGTGCAGGGACTGGCAGAGGAAGAGATCTCATGACAAGCACGTTATATTTATTCTGATCACCTGCCTCTCATCCCTAAAGCTCACCCTGCAGCTCCAGACTTGATTTTTTACAAGTTCTTTCACCCCAAACCACCCGGAAAATCACCCTTACATGTAGTTTAGTTATGAAAGACAATTGTTTTTCAGGCTGTCCTCCAGATTTGGGAGGGAAACCATGCTGGCATTCAGCACAGAAGGGAAGAGACGCGATTCTGCCCTGCTGGCCCAGCTGGTTTCGGCATTACTTACGGTAACGGCAGCTCCCATCAGGCCCTGGACAACTGCTTCTCCGGTTGCCTGTACCTAGGAGGCACAAGGAGAACACAACCTGTGTTATTTTTCTGCTGTTATACCTCTGGCCACCCAAACACTGAGATGGGACGCAAAACAAACACCTATTTGCTATGGGAAGGTGCTGATAGAAGCCAGGCGCTGCAGACAAATGGTAGCTAGAAGTAAGAAAAATGGAAGAGATTTCCTGGGAATCCACGTCCCTTAACCATCAGGCCAGTCCGACAAAGAGGACGCCTACATAGAAAATTTGTACTAGAAAACACAGAAGCATTTACTGATGTGGAACTGGCAGCGTTTACACAATCACCCACCAGTACAAGGCGGCGTCTCCGCAGACATGTGGTCCGCGTGATCGCAAAACCGGGTCTGTCCATGTGTATTCTGGGGGAGAACGGGGACTCTGCACATGTACCTCGCCCGTCACGTTACCTGATGAGCTCTGTTTCCCACGTTCATGGCATCGGCCACTCTGTTCTCCAGGAAGCGCCAAGTGTCTTGGAAGTCAGGGGATGAATCCTGCATCATCACCAGTTCGGTGGTGCTGTAGATGCCGGTGAGCACAGCCCGACGGGTGTACCAGTTAAACTGCCAGGGCGGGAAATGAGAGAGAAGCGGGGAAATGAGCAGGTGTGACCGGAACGCAGATCAGGAACGCGGCGTGCAAAAGCAGACAGGAGAACGGCAAAGGAAAACACCGACTGCACGTTCCTTCCCTCGCTTAAACTGAGTAACTCGCCTCTGTGGCACGGTGGCCACTGCAGTTTGGATGCGGTGGGCCACTGCAGTCCATGCCAGATTGTAGTGTTAGGGCCTGAATGGTAAGCCCTGCACTGAAGTTGACCTATAGATGAAGCTCACAATCCCACACTATATAGTATTAACTACATATGTAATGTATTGATAATCTATTGTAGCATATGTATCTTCCAATGCCAATCTCTAAAGGCTTTGCTCTAACACTAAATGTGCAGTGGGAACCAGCAGAGCAACCTTTCTTTATCTAAGGGCCCGGTGCAAGGCTGGGAAACGAGCTGCCTCCTGCTTTGTTAGAAGCATGTTACAGGACTGTGAGACCAGAGGCCTGGCCTTGGTGAGAATTATGTGATTAAGGACCAAAATAGATGGGGAGACTCCCCTGTGTTCTTCCTTTAGCCCTGGCCAGGCTGTGGGAGGAATCCAACCGAGTG